GCAAAATATGAAATTCAGTTATATATATTGATTAGAATTTACAAAACTTTTGTAGAATTTTAGGCTTTAAAACAACACACAATGAAATAAAATGGTCTAGAATTGCTGTGAAATGAAATTATTTCATTAAAAGAACGTAAGCAGTTAAAATAGCAGTCAACAATTGGAAATAAGGAACGCAAAGTGTGTTTTATGTCTCTCCAGTTAAATTGTTTATTCAAATAAAGCGAAAGACTCAACCTGTCATATCATAGTTATATCAGTAAAACAAAGTCAAATCACTCGAATCTCATCCTTAAGCTGGTACTTTATGGTACTCGTTAATTTTCCAGATATCACAGTTAGAAAAAACGATTGCCATAAGGGGATTCGGAGTTTGATTGCCTTGAAGGGGTTTAAGATCCTGGATCCAGGAATTTGACGATCACATTATAATTACCTTTTCCATTTAGTTACACTGCAAGAGATTTTAGTAAAATGTATTTTACTTGAAGCATAGTCTACTTAACCATTAACCATTAGAAAACCGAAGAGTTCGCTAACATGTATGCTTAAAATACCTAAACGCCCCTTCCCGTCCATTACCCGTCCCGTCCGTTTCCTCTCCTCCCCGTACATTAACTCACAAAGAGTTGTGAATATTTCAAATGACGTCCTTTCTTCTTCCTAGTAAAGAAGCTTTCACTAGCCTTTTAAAACGAGATGTTTGCAAGAAACTGATACAATGCATTTGGGGAAACAGTACTTGCTACTGCATACCTTAGGGGGAGGAAAGCAAACAAAATCGCAGTCTCGACTGTCTCTGGCGTTTTGTCCTTTAGAGATCCACAACAGATACGCGCAGTTGTGAATGAAACAGGTAATACATACTTACTTGAAGCTAAATGCTGCAAAAACCGCGTAACGACATTATATACGAAAACGTTTTATAGTTATCAGAGGAAATACATTTTATTATATAGATTGAAAATTGCAGGTCTTTTTCTATAAATTAGTAAATTAAATCAACGTTAACCCCATTTCACTTTTTTCATCGGTTTTCGCTAGATTCGTTTAGTGAATTATATGTTATTTACTATATATTATTCAGAATTATAGACCTTTGCGCATAAATCGAGTTAATAGAGATTTGTATACATTTCATTGTATGAAGAATGCTTTGAAAAATGTTATGGTGCTTAGAAGCTTTGTACTTTAATTTGAAAAATATTGTACTCCGTGTAAATTTTATCCCACTCCATTAATTAACCGCTAAGAACAGCAGAGAAGAAAGAACACTTAAAATGTTCTTTCTTTGCACACTCTGGTTAATGAACTTGAAAGTACACTGATAGCTATAGTTACTGGATATGTTGCCTTGCTTATTCGAAATTCTTTTTTAGCTAGAGTAGATTTTAGCCCAATGTTTGTGCTTGTGGGTTACGGTATAGTTCTATAAACACTGCAAGATTTATACTGGATTTTATAAAATGAGATTTTAACGGTTATACTATTATTTGAAGTCAGGTAAAAAAAAGGAATATGCACTTTTTCGGTTAAACAAAGTACTGGTAATTACTTGTTAGTATATAATTTATATATATCCATAATTTAATAACATTTGTTTGAAAAAAACAAACGATTATTTAAACAACTTCCATTCCTTTCACGCATTCTCTTTTTCCAAAGAAAGGAAAAAGAAAAGAAAAACGAACAGCAATTGAATTTCATCTTATGTTAGCCGTCCAATAATTTTTCTGAATACGTACAATCTCACCGTGTAGCAGAGGTGTACAACACTGGGCTTACAAAAATAAGTTACCTAAAACATTAAATATGACATCCATAAATGAAACGAACAAAAACAGAGAACAGCAGTCTGGACTTCACGAACACAGGTACGTTCATCAGCCAAGTCACGCCGAACCTTTCCAAATCATTCTGCAAGCATAATGTAGGGTCATCGACGATAGGGTATTAAAAAATTAAATCATGCAATAATGTCAAAATAGCTTTTAAGATATTAATTAGTAAAAAGATTCATTAATTTATTTCGATATTAATTTTTATAAGGCTAAACTTAAAAAAAGTCCATTAAACTCATGTAAAAATTAAATCTCTTTTTTTGGTTCGTTAATATAACGAACACTCAAACAATTAACGTTTTATATTTTAGTGAAGAATTAATAATACTTTATATAAGCCTTAAGAATTTATTCAATAATGTTCTATAATGTAAAACATTATAGAACATTATTAAGCACAAAATGTAAAACATATAAAATCTAAAACATTAGTTCATTTTTAACATTTAGTGAAGAATTAATAATACTTTATATACGCGTTAAGAATTTATTCAATAATGTTCTATAATGTAAAACATTATATGTAATTTATGCTTAATAATAACATTTTATGCTTAATAATGTAAAACAGTATTAAGCATAAAATGTAACACATTTAACTTATTTTTAAGAAACAAAGTGCTAAAAGCAAGCTTCTTAGCAACTTGCTTCATTCTTCCTGAAAAACTAACTTATCTAACATATTGTATAAATAATTCTCAGGAATATATTGCACCTCACTAACAAAATGTGTCAATTTCAAGCTAAAATACATACAAAATTATGGAGTTTGTTTTCGGCTTTTATATGCAGAATTTTATTCAAATTTTTATTTCCAATTTTATCATATAGAGTTTCATATTATTTCTAATCAGGACTAAAATTATTTCTGTTAAATAGGCAAGAGGTACCAAAGAGAATAGGACATAACACTGTACCTTCAAAATACACATTCGAATAGTGATCTGAAGGATTACAATAAACAAGTTAGTGTTCTAAGTTGCATCAAAATTTAAATTTAAACATTTCAAACAATCTATCACAAAACAACAGAGAACGCATAGAAATTAGATCTGATTTTCACCTGGACCTCAAATATATTTTAAAATATCGCTTGAATAAAATATTCATTTAAAAATGCTCATTTTTAAATTTAAGAGTAAACTGTAAATTTTCCCGCTTTTAACCCTTTAACTGTCAAGTTATTTTGATGATTTGGGCACACAAATTGTCAAATTTTTTTATTGGAAAACCAAATGTAGCCGAAATAAACATCTCCCGATATATATTCGGGTATGACAATACGATGCACTCAAAAAAAAAATTACCCCGAGAAATACTCGGGCGTGACATTTTCGAACACCAGTGCAATCGCGGGCATGACAGTTAAAAGGTTAAGGTGATATTGCAGATTACTAACAAATTACATGTATATTTCCACTTAATTTATCTATTTAGTCCAAAGGGATTTCAGTCCCGAAGGACTATTGCTTTCGTTTTGGCATTTTGCGTCGGACTCATAAACGTCGGTTCACTTTTCAAACTGTTGCCACAAAATGTTAGAGTCCTGCATTATATTTGAAGAAATTAAATAATGAAAAATCTGCATAAATGATTGTCTATTTCTCGCATTGTGATAAAACAATGGTACATAGAGCCATCGAATTTTGAATGACGAAATCCTACTGCGAATATGGGCATCTGAAATCCAAAATTTGGAATTTGTTTTATTATAGATTTTATATTTTGTAAAACTTTAACGAATTTTTGATTACAAACTCAATGCTTTAAAAGCGAGAAATGGCAACGTTATATAGAAAAAAAAATACTTTTATCTCCAGCTCGCGAGACTGTGTATATCGGAAATTCTAAAGATATGCTTAATTTAACATTATTTTGCGATATTGCTCTTGAACTGAATTTTATGGTTTTAAGTGCAAAGAACATGATATTTAATAAATAAAGGTAACACTCAAAACGTTAAAAAAACGCCCCTTTGGACGTAATTTAAAATCTGAAAAATTTCAGATTTTTTTTTTCAATATTTTCTCTAATTAACCTTAACCTGCAGAAATATACAAATTTTGGTACTTATCCGTTTTGCCGGCGCAAGCGATAAAATCGCCAATAATGGTACAACCGATGCCAAACGGAATATTCTCGCTGGTAACCTTTAACGCCTCATTCAGATAGTTCAGTTTTATGTCTAAGGCCATTTTCGGCAATTAAATCAATTAGGATGCAATCACAGCGCTTACCCGAAGCCGAAAATATAGAAAAGGTAAAGTCAAGGGTTAAATTCATCAATTCTAATGAGAATGCATTAGCGAAGTAAAGCACTGCAGTTTTACATAATTTCTGAGTAAGCTATTCGTAGGAATTGAAGTATTTCTTGCATTTAAACTTGTGTTCCAAATTAAGATTTAACTTGAAATTAATGTAGATAATACTGAAAGCATTATATTTTTGTAGAGATATAGTATATACGTGAGATGAGATCGCTTGGGGTCCACGTGATATGAACCGGCAAAACAGGATCTTGAACCATGAAAGCTAGTAAATTCTTAAATTAATGTCTTTTTATAAATTTTATTGTCTTTATTTATTGGCTTTTTATAAAATTTTAAGCGATATTAAAATGTTTATGCCTTCAAAAAAAGAATTCTTAGGACTAACATTTTTTTTAATATTTTTTGTGTGCATAATGTATGTTGTCGCCAATAAAGTCTGCTTGGCGAGATTTGCGCCGGCGAAACGGAAAAGTACCCAAATTTTATTACCGACACGCATCTATTATTATATGTAAGGCTTTACATCTATTATAATGCAAGGCTCACAAATCGTACTTTCTTGATTGGTTATTTGAAGTACATTTATGCATTTATCGCTTGTTGTAAGCCTCATACCGTACCCCACACATTAATTCTGTAAAATTAAATCTAATAGCTTAATGGCGTGCGTCATTTTTTATCATCAAATGTAAATAAAATCCTCTGCATAAATTAAACTGATTGAGGCGTTGCTAATTTATGCTTAATAACATTTCCTTTAGCATAGAGAAAACCATGAAACTTCGTCTTTTACACATCTGTTAGTCGCTTCAGGATGTTTTAAAAGTTCACGAAATTAGTTGTCGCATAATGTTGTCATAAATTATTTGTCATAAAATGTACTCACCAGTTTCTTTCCGCTGAGGACTGTCGAAAGATCCAGTTCTTGACATTCATCCAACTCCTTATGTTCCATTTTTAATTTCTGTATTTCTGCCACCACGAAACTGACCAAACTTTCGGACTCCGCTTCTTCCATATCTTGCCATTCGGTGGACGACTGGGGTGGTGGTATCCCTGTGGTTGTCGACGTTGGTGTCGTCACCGTTGATGTTGTTGTTGTTCTTGTTGTCGTTCCCTCTGCAGTCATCACTTTCTCAGTAGACGACGCCCTCGTGGTCGACGACGCGGATTCAGTAGTCGTCAAGCCACTGGCTAATGATATCAGCAACAGGCAAGTCGCGATAGCCACAAATACTTGGTGCTCCATCCTCCAACTCAGAAGTTTGGAGCCACGTGCTATGGGTATGCTGAGAGTCGGCACAAGTTCTTTACTTCAGAACAGAAGGTGCTTCCTCCCACAGGATGCCCGAGTGGCGATTTCTCCTCTAAATCTGACTCCGAAGGGATGCTGAGGAGCATCCTGCTGAGGGTAGGAGGAGGAATGCGGTTGCAGCGCCATCTGGTCCCACGAACTTCCCCCGTTGGTTTTAGTCCCAAGATAAGTGTAAGAAGCATAGGCCGTTCACTCCAAACTCAAATATTTCGCTCATTTAAATTAAGATATATAAGTTATTTCCGCGTAAATTTACGAAGAGCTAGTTTAAGAAGTAATAACGTAAGATATGTTTTAAGTCCACGGACGTTAAGATATTTATCCGAATGCTGAAGAAAATGTAGTCTGCTTCTGTCTATTAATTTCAAGGTTTAAACGAAGCTAATGGATGGTCGAATTTTAACTTTTCTTCAATTCGAATCTTGAAATGTTCCGAAATCTTTCAAACACTTCATGTAACGAAGAGTGAGGGGGAAAGAAATGATTGAATGTAAAAGTTTCTATAGATGTTTAAAATAATCTCGAGATGCTGAGGAAAAGTTTTAGTATATTTATTAATTTTGTGTTGCAGCTTAAACTTAGTGGAACGAGTCCTGACTTTCTTGAATTTGACTCTTCAAATTTCTTTTGAATCCTTCCTGTAAAATTAATAAGGAAAAAAAAAAGAAAAAATTTTCTAGTTAAATCATAATTTGTAATATTTTATGTAATAAAAATCAAGTTTAGAAATATTCATTTTGAAATTGCACATACGGTTATTTAGAAAATACAAAAGGATTTTAAAAATGCTAAAAAAATTACATTATTAAAAGTCTTAAATGTCGAGTTTACTTTTTTTAATATAATTCGTCTGAATATATTTTAATCATCGTTCAGACGTTTTATATATTTCTTATCAAATACTTATCTAAAACATTAAGTGTGCCTGCCATGGGGGAATACTGGTGATTGAGGGCAACTGATATTGCAGTAATAGGGTTCTTTTATAATGACGACATATATTGGAAATCAATAAAAATAATTTATACAAAGAAATGAGTTAAAATGTTTAATAGGTTTCAAGTTAGAATTGGGAGTATTCGAATGACGGTAAAAGATAAAAATGATGATAAGAGGTTCCAGTCTTGAATTTCAAATCATTTCGAAGTTCCATGGGAACTCAGAATGCAAATATTCCATCCCTAGTTAAAATTTAAATTTTCGTAAAATCGTAAAATATATTATAACAAATATTCATAATTTGCGAATACATTTCATATATTTGAATTCTCAAGAAACTAAAATATAAAGTGATGTATTACTGGTTTTATATTGAATATATTGCTTTTTTTATTTACCATTGAATTTTCTTAATATATGAACCCTTTTTAATGACATTTGAATTTTTTTTACAAAAATACAACTTAAATTATCAAAATTTATTCAAATTAATGTAAAACAGCTTGAAATATTTTCTATTAAAATTATCAGTTTTTTAAAATTTATGATGACTAATATGATTTATGATTAATTAATGTGGTTTCCTGAGAAGAGAGAAAACATTTTTCCTCTTTAGAGCTATGGGCATGTGGGCCTACTAAGAACGATCATTCTTCGTTTATAATGCATTAGAGAATTTTTCCTGCAACAAAATTCTGAAATTACGGGAATAAATATATCCAAGTCCCATATTGTCAAGACATGCAACTGTTAAGGCTTATTAAATTCTTATTCTTATTCATGCTTATTAAAAAATTAAAAAATTATTAAATTCTTATTCATGCTTATTAAAATTCCTGTTATTGAGTTTCATATCATGTTATTGAGTTAACATGAGTTTGAAGTTCATTTCAACCCTGTGTCACAACTCAGGGTTTGTGTAGCGGTTTCGGCCATTACACCACAGTGCAGTTTAATTTTAACCCTTTTCCTGACTCTCTCAAGTTACCCCGAGATGAGAAGATCATCACACTATTATTCGTGCATTCTTTCCTCTTCTCTATCAAAGCGATCGCTAGCAATCAGAGCTACGAAAGAAGTAACCATGGGAAATTTTCTCTTCAAAGACTTTTATCGAAGGAAAAAGCTGCTCTTTCTTCAGAAAATAGTGACACGTAGAAACTAAAAAGGATTACTTTAGTTTCGTTTTATTTGTTCAGCTCCCAATGATAAACGCAGTACTTTAGATGTTAATTTAGTGTAGACCCCCCAAGCTGTGCGACTTAATACAATAGGTTTCTTACTTTGCAGAGAAAGAGAAAGCTGTGTCAAGCAAGGAAATTAACTACAGTTGAAACGAACAACAAAATTATTCAGACCGGTTTTTCTTTTGACTCCTTACCACTGCAGGAAATTGATTTCGTTGAGCTCATTTAAGAGCTAACAGTTATTTTTTCAACGTTTAATGTAAGTAACGAAAGAAATTTAACATATATTCCCTTACGGGTTCAATTAAATAATTATTAATAGGAATATTAGACATAATTAATAGGAATATTAGTACATGAAGACTGGAGACCATCAGTTAAGCCAGCTGTACCGTCGTTACGACTTTTCAGCTTTATTGCTCAACTAATAGAACCATCTACCATCCGCTACATTTATTAATGAATTTTAAAAAATATATATGAATGATAAGTCCATAAAGTTGTAACATAGTATAGTTGTCTTAAACATAAAAACTGGAAATTTGTAAAAGTGAAAATTAAATAAGAAATTAAAAATAATGACAAAAAAAAAGTATTAGGTGAATTTTGAAAAATCAAAAGTCAAGGAGTCTTTAATCTATAGCCAAGAGTTAATAATAAAAGGCATTTGGAAAGTCTGAATTTGAAGGTTTTGATGACACTAGTCTTTTAGTCTCAAATAAATCAAGTCTTTGATAATCATAATTCTTGACAGTATTGGAACTATGCACTGCTTGATGAAGAAGAAGGACTGAGAAGATGGAAAGAGATGATGCTGTAGTCTAACAAATAAAGTACATGGTTGTTGACGATGATGCATATATATATATAGGAAATCTATGATAATGTAGATGATGGATGAAAAAAGAAATGATAATGAGGATAGGTGACGAAGAAGTGTTTACAAAGACGATGTTAAGATAAGATATGAAGTGCTATGCAGGAAATGGCAGATGATGAACGTGTTGATAAGTAATGATGATAGAATACTGCCGAAGATGAATGATGATAATAGATAATGATAGAATACTGCCGAAGATGAATGATGATAATAGATAATGATAGAACTGCCGAAAGATGATGATACTAGATATGATAATGACTGCCGAGATGAATAGATAATAGATATGATAGATACTTCAGGGGAATGATGATAATAGATAAGATAGAATACTGCCGAAAGATGAAATGAAATGATATAATAATGAAGAATGATGATACTGCCTAGGTGAATGATGATAATAGATAATGATAGAATACTGCCGAAGAGAAGTGATAAGATAATGATAGAATACTCCGAAGAGGAATGATGATAATAGATAATGGTAGAATACTGCCGAAGATGAATGATGATAATAGATAATGATAGAATACTGCCGAAGATGAATGATGATAATAGATAATGATAGAATACTGCCGAAGATGATGAATGATAATGATGATGATACTGCCTAAGGTGAATGATGATAAATGATAATGATAGATACTGCATAGATGAAGAGAGATATGATATGAAGAGGATATGATAATAGATAGAATATGCCGAAGATGAATGAGGATAATAGATAATGATACTAAGATGAATGAGATATAGATAATGATGATATCCGAGATGAATGATAATGATAGAATTAAAGATGATGATGAAAGACAAAATGGATGATGATAGTTTGACATATTGAAGCTATACACTGTAATTATTAGTAAACATATTATTAGTAAGCTATGCACCGTTTGCTGATCAAGAAGATGAAGAAGAAGGACTGAGAAGATGAACAAGGGTAGATGGATGATGATAAATGATAATCATTGACAGATTACGTTGCTAGATGATAATCGTTGAAAGAAGGCAAACGTTTACAGATAGATGGATGATGATAAATGATAATCATTGACAGATTACGTTGCTAGATGATAATCGTTGAAAGGAGGCAAGCGTTGACAAATAATGTTGAAGGCGTATGATGATAATTAATGATTTTTAAAGAATTAAGTAGCTTTTAAATTATCGCAATTAATCGAAATATGGTTGATAAGGTTTTGAAGTTTATTTCGAAGAAACTTATTTTTAAGGAGTTGTTGAAACCAAAGCGGGGCTTAAATTGAAGTATATTTTTTAAAATGGACATCTTTAGTTATTTCGCAACCAAACATATAAGGGTCGATTGATCTCGTATTTCCGCAGATGCATTGATCTGTATGATGAAGGCCAAATCTATGGAGATAGTCAATAAAAGGCCCATGAGTACATGAAGACTAGACAATAAGTGTAGCACTGCAAACAGTGGTGCTAGAAATTACGTGCTCTGAAATATAGTCTAGAACAGGGGTCTCAAATAAGTGGCCTACGAAAACATTTTATGCCCGCGATTAGATTTAAATTTTGTATTTTATGCAAATGCAGCGTTGCAGAGATGTTAAGTTATTTGAGGACTAAGTTTACATTATTACAATTATCATTAAAAATGAACATGGAAAGAGCACCAGAAAATCTACAAATGGAACTAAATAATTTTTAGTGTTATATAAATCTTATTCAAAGATTTTGAACATGCGATTTGATTAATTCTGGTTAATTTAACAGTTCCCTCGGAACGGATGGGAGTCGAAAGGAATTATTCCACAGACGGGGGGGGGATCTCGAGTCCGCTAAGCCTAACTTTAGAAACATATAATCATAAAAATGTTTACGTCCTAACTCCAAAATTTTTGCATTATTTTAGATTATTACTTACGCTATTACGTACGTTAAAATTAGCTTTAAATAACCTTCTTCCCGTACTTTATATAAAAATATATAAAAAAATTGCTTACTTTGAGAAATAATTTTTGGAAGTGCTATTCGAACTATTACAGTTTTAATTGACGGAAAGACATAAATAAGTTTTTAAATTA